GTGGTCATTGTTCAGATACAGTGGGTTAAACGGGGTGCGAGTAGGTGCAGGACCTGTGCTGCCATAGTCTTCATGGCGGGCTCCAGGTCCCTCAGGAGGTCGAACCCTTGGTGGAAGAAGGTGAACTGAGCGTGGACGAATGAGAACATCTGGAAACAGAAACAACGATGACTCAAGCGCTCGGATTGACCCGGCTTCCGTCTTTATGCTAAGCTAAGCTAACGCCTGACACATAAGCTTTATCTGAACAGCTCACTCTCAGAAGGAGACCACGCCCCGGAAGTAGAAGCACACTTCTAAAGCAACAACAACAACAACAACAACGGCACAGGTAAACAGCTGGAGAAGAACTCACTGAGTTTAAGATGTCCACTCTCTGCTGAGCCTTGAACGTGTTCAGCTGAAACAAGTGAAGGAAAGGTCACATATAAGCCCCCCGTGGTGTGTGTGTGTGTGTGTGTGTGTGTGTGTGTGTGTGTGTGTGTGTGTGTACCTGCAGACAGTAGTCCAGGGCGAAGTGCTGGTAACATTTGCGCGTGGCGAGCAGCAGGTGACTCGCCCGCTCCGCCTCACCGGCTTTGTGCCCGAGACACCTGAGCGCTTTTCACCGCCGCCGTCTCCAGGTCCTCTCCGATCCGGACAAACTCCCTCCTGGTCTCCACCAGCTGGGGCAGGAACCTCGGAGATGATGCACCATCCCTCATCGTCACCACCATCACCCACACATTGTGCGTGTGTGTGTGTGTGTGTGTGTGTGTGTGTGTGTGCTGGACCTACTGTGTGCACAGGTTGGTGAGCTGCTGGCCGATGGCTCTCTGAGTCTGATCAAACAACATCTGAGGACAGAAGACGGAGAGACTTCATTGAGCATTGAGGGTCTGGTCCACTGTGAAGTTCTCTTTTGAAGAGTTGCTTCTTCGGGTCCCTCATGACAGGAATCTAGAGGTCCCTGTTTCTGTCACGCTGTCATGTCTGTTTCTCTTATTCCGTCACTCAGCCCATGAACACTAGCAGAGTGGACGTGATGAAGAGAGGAGATCCAGGAGGACCTGCAGAAACCTGACGGGGCCTCTGGTCTGGTTGCTTTCCAACAGGTACCCTTACACTCTACAAACCTCCTTGCTAAAAAGATGCATTTTAAGGTTTGTGGGTCGGTAAGAGCCAACTCAAGTCATTAGGACCCTGGACCAGAAGCTCAGGGCTCAGTACAGGAATAGAAAATTACAGTTTTATTTTTCATGTTTAATATTAATTAAAACCAGGCTGAGAATAGAACCCAGTACACAGGAAACAGGGTGTGTGTGTGCGCTCACGCTGTGGAAGCTGACCACCTCCTGAAGGCCCTGGTTGAACTGGCTCAGACAGTTCTGAGGACATAGAAACCGGATGTCAGCGAGAAACACTTCACAATAAAATAATGTAAACAATAAGCAGAGCGAGGGTTCAGAGATCGATAACATTATTGGGACACATCCCGGAATAACTTTTCACTGCCGTTTCCATCTAAAGTTGACAAACGCCATTTCAAACAACATTAAATAAAGAATAAATTCAAATGAATTTGATTACGAGGATTAGCATTAGCATTAGCTAGCTCCGTACTGTGATGACGTCGTCCGTCTTGTTGTGCGCGGAGAGTTCAGCCAGGCCGGTGAGGAACAGCTGATTGGCTGCATTGTACGCTTGCCCCGCCTCCACCATCTTCCCGCACAGCTTCATCACCTGATTGGTCAGAGACACAGAAGATGGACCAATGAGATCTCTTTGCAGGTCTGACGGTGCGGGAACGGTTTCAGCCACACATGTACCGAAGAGTTACAGTACTGTCTCCTGGAGTACTGTAGAGTAGAAGTACTAGTAGTAGTTCTAGTAAAACCATATAAGTGGTAGCAGTAACAGTGTTAGTACTAACGGTAGTAAGTAATAGTAATAGTAAAAGTAATAGTATTTCCAGTAGTAATAGTAACAGTTGTAGAGGTAAACTGTCCGTAGTAATAGCAGTTACGTTAGGAGTAAAAGTATTTGTACCTTTTCCAGTTGTGTCTCCAGCACAGAAACATCTGCCTCGAACAGCTCGAGCTTCAGTCTGAACAAAATAAATGAAACATCATCAGGGTTTCTGCGCATGCGCGGCTTGGCGATGCTAAGGTGTGTGTGTGTGTGTGTGTGTGTGTGTACTTACCTGAAGTGAGGAGAGTCTCTGACACACTCCTCGAAGTCCAGCAGCGAGTCCATGTGGTCTTCAGGTAATGTCACCGAGTCTCACTGTGGATGAAGGTGATCAACTCCTCTTCACAGCGGCCGTTAGCCTGTTAGCATAGCGTTAGCCTGTTGGCTCCATTGCCATTCCTCGTATTTAACTCGGTACTCAGCCAGCGGGAAACGGCCGATTCGATCGTTTCAGACCGATCGATCGGACATCGCGCACCCGCACTCGGTTGTCACGCACGTCGGGTAAAGTTTGCAGCGCAACAGCTGTTCGTGCATCCTGCAAGATGCGAATCTTCAGCGCGGCTCAGCTCATGAATGTTAATGAGGTGACGCGTCCTGATGACGACATAACGGAAGTTCACCTCCGCAAGTATAATAAATAATCAGTAAAACAAAATAATTACAATGTTTATTTAACATTTAACATTTAACATAATAATTGAACAGTACAACATGATGAGAATGGTTCTTAAAATGTATTTAATTCAACGAAATAATTAGGATGTTTCTTAAAATAATGTATTTAGAAACGTTCTCATAATGCCTGTGCGGGTGTTTTCTTACAGCACCAGGGGTCCGTTTCAAGAAGCAGGTTCAGTGTAAACTCAGAGTTTGTTCACCCTGAGATGAGGGAAACTCGGCTTGTTCCACAAAGGGGGGTAACTAAAGCTCAGGCTCCGTCACCATGGTAACTAAAGCTCAGGCTCCGTCACCATGGTAACTAAAGCTCAGGCTCCGTCACCATGGTAACTAAAGCTGAAGATATATTGTCATTTCCAGATGACTACTTGTTTGAACGCTATCGTTTTTCTTCACAGTCCATCAAATATGTCCATGACCTCACGCGTCCTCATGGAAGTAACGTCCCCCATCGTGGACGTGCTCTCACATCCGAGCACATTCTTTGTGTAGTATTACGTCTTTTCCTTTACAACATTATAATATCAGTAAAGCTGCTGCCTGCAGAGCCGTGAGAAACGTCTTTTAAACCTTTTTGTTCCCTGGACACAAACCAGTGAGACATTAAAGAGGAGTTCTACAGGACAAGCCTGTGTGTAGTGCATTCTAACAAACAGTTTCCACTGGGAAACGTATGAATTATGATTAGTGTCTGCATTAAATATTAACTGACAACACTATATTGGAACGAACAGCAATTTTCTCCGTTTCTCTGTCTTTTCTTTCTAATTACGGGTTCATACTCGTCGTACGCTTGCATTAATATTTGCACCTCAATAGGGGTGAAGAACGGAAATGACAAATTACTTTGTACTAGCTTTTCACAATTGAATTGATTAAGGGAAAGCCACAAAATTCTAATAATTAGGAAAAAGATTGTATTTCTTTTGATAATAGTAGTTTTAATATTGTTTTACAAGCTAGTGTGAGTCGGTTCAGTATGTAGAACACCGAGACACGCTGAGCACCAGGTAACACTTTACTTTAATAGACACACTTAAAGAGTAAAACGATCACTGAGCTTTCATCAATAAGTCACTTCTACAGCCGAGACGAAGGGAAGCGTTTTATTGGAAAACGTGTGTGTGTGTGTGTGTGTGTGTGTGTGTGTGTGTGTGTGTGTGTGTGTGTGTGTGTGTGTGTGTGTTCAGAAGCTGATGGAAAGCAGGATCACAGTGACGTTGTCGGCACAGCCCCTCCTCACCGCCTCACTAGCCAATCGCTGGCACGCAGCTTCAGACCGCACCTCCTCCTCCGTCAGCCCCGGCTTCTGCTCCACAGTCGCCTCCTGCAGGGGAGGAAGGGAGGACTGAACGCACTGACAACGGCAGCACAGAGATACAAACAACTACGTTACAGACTATTGACCATATATTACAACTTGTGCTCTATGGGTAGTTATTAAAGAGTTCCCATGATGCTTTGGGTTTCACTATTAATAGTATGCTGAATGATGTGTACTGATACACAATCACCGTCTAAGGAAACCCTTTTAATAAACATCCACATGATAAACATGAAGGTGTAACGAACATGAAATGTAGTGAAGTAAATCTGACCTGCAGGATGTGAAGCACGAACTTAACGGCTTCCTCAGCAGAAAAGACTTTGAAGAGCCCGTCACAGGCCAGCAGGATGAACCTGTGGGGCGAGGACACGCGTCAGCACGGAGCGGTTCACACTATGACTGCGAGCGGCGCGGCGTGCTCTTGCCTGTCATTGGCTGTGAGCTGACACCTCTTGGTGTCGGGCGATGAAATGACTCCACATCGTTTGTACTGACCGTCTCCGATGGACCGAGACACCTCGAGGACCCTCAGCACCCGGCCGTCCCTGAATCAGGGACAGGAGAAGACCACGCCACCCAGTTCACAATGTACCCAGACATTAAAGTCCAGCGTTTCATTTTCAGATCAGGGTGTTTTTTAACCAGATGAAGGAGTTTAGTCATCAGAGCGACAGGCTAAGCTAACGTTGACACATCTCCACTGGGCTGCTGTGAACCACGATACCCCAGGAAGGTTCCCATGATGCTTCAGCGCATCACAAACTCCTCTTTGATTTATGCGACGATGTTTTTGGATTCCATCTCCTAAATGTGAGATGTTTGCTTCTAGAAGTCAATGATGAGAGTGTGTTTGGATGAGACTGTTCTCATGTGTGATCACCTCCCCAGTAAGTGATGATATACAATATAACTCTGACCCCCCCAGCGTACCGGACGGTGCCTCCCGCCCTCTGGATCCTCCTCCTCTCCTCGTAGATGGTCGGGTTGTGTTCTGTGCTGAGCGGCAGAGTCAGCGACCTCCTCCCTCCGCCCGCTGCCGCCGCCTCCATCCGACAGAGCACCGCCTAGAGACACAGACACTCCTTGAGGTCACAGACCGGCTGCCCCGGGGGACGGTAGGGGACAAAGACTTTACCCTGCTGTCCCCCAGGTTGGCCACGTACACGGTGTCGTCCACCGCCAGAACGCAGGTTGCCGTGGAGCCGTCCTTCCACGCCGGCTTCCTGTTGAGAGAGAGAGAAGAGCTCAGACACCCTGGAAGAGGAGCTATGCTCCAGCCAGCTGCCCCGAGGCCTCCTCCCAACGCTTACTGGCTGGACGCCGTCCTCAGAAAGTCTTCATCCGTCTGCCGGAACGTGTCCAGGAGACATCTCTTGATCAGCACGTCCATGTTCCCCGTTAGCCCTGAAGGAGACGCAGCGTTGTTCAGTTCCTTCAGATCATCTCAGACCTCCACATAGAGGCCGTCCTCCTCCACAGGTGGGTGTTAAAATGTTTGTATTAATAAACTGACTCAAAAAGTTCTTGTAGAGTTAAAAGAGTAGAAGTATTAAGTAGCACTGGAAGGAAGCATGAAGACCGAAGGTCTTTAACAAGGAGGACTGTCCCTTTAAGAACTCACCGCTTGGGAACTTGTTGGCCAGAATGTGGTGGAGATGCTCGGCGGCGAATCGGGAGGCCCGAGCTCCTCCGTGACCGTCGAACACGGCGAAGTAGGACACGCGAGACCTGCGGGACACAGAGGACAGGTCAGGAACCCGCCTCCCCCGATGACCACTTCCTGTCGGGGGACTTACGCTGGACTGGGCCGAGCGTTCAGGTAGCTGCTCATGTCGGGCAGCAGGACGTGAGCGTCCTGCATCTCATCCCGCTCGCCGCGGCGCGCCGCCACGTAGCCCTTCAGCACAGGGAGGCCTGGTCGACAACACACATGTCAGTTCCTAAACGCATCATCTCTGCACCTAGGTTCTACTCTGACCTTCGCTGAGGGGAAATAAAAACAAGCATTGTGGTGGAACAGCTGAAAACCTTCTTTACAAACTCTCTTGACCTCCCCCTCCTCCTCAGTGTCCTCTCTCCTCCGCTTCAACCTCTTCTTCTCCTCCTCATCTTCCTCCTCTTCTTCTTCTGTGGTGGCCTGTGGTCGAGCTGTGGTCGCTGAGGAAACTCGACCTGAGGAGGAAACACAGCAAATTCCAGCTGATGAGTTTGAGTAGCAACAAAAAACAACGTTATTGTTTTTTAAAAAACATTTCACAGATTTACACATCTGCAGATGAATGGATGATTATTGTAGATAATTAATTAGAGCATCGGTCTGGCACAGGGCACAATACGTATCTTGCCTTGGATTCTCCTTTTTACTTTTACCCGTTTGTGTATTCATATATTTAGTAGCAGCATTTCTTATCTACTATTGGACCAATCACAGCGCTGGACACGCCCCTCTCACTGCTGGTGTGGGGAATAGACAACGTTACATCATTAATGTTAAAAACACAGTCAATTAGGTTTTTGATGTAACGTAAAGACCGGCGCATGCGTCGTTGCGTCGACGCACTCTTTTCAATTCATGGTTCCAAAAGTCTTGCGTGTGTTGCTGAGAAGTTCACCGCCAGAACAACAGGCGGAGTGACGTGTTTTTTCTTGAAGACGACCTAGAGAGTTAATGACGGCTTGTATAAGCGCTCATATTTGCGCATTTTTTCCGACAAAAGTTCTTAAATCTGCTCCGTTCTCTCTTAAACATTATTCATTTTAATAATGGCGGTATCGGGCTATGAAAGCGGAAATGTGAGACTCCGTAAAGGACGTAGTCAGCGGACCAATCACAGCCTGGTGCGCTGCGGGAGGTTTACGTCGCTTGCGTCACTTTCGACGCAAGCCTAGAAAAATGTCTCGACACACGCAAGGACGCGTGAAAAGGCACGCAAGGGACACGCAAGGGGGGGTCTTGCGTCTGCGTCGCTCTGAAAACGCAGAATCATAAACTAGGCTTTAGTTCGCGATTAGTTGTGAGAATTGTAAAGCAAAGAGTCTTTATTTTGGCTAAAGGACGCTAAATACAGATAGTTACATGTAATTACCGTTACCATCAGCTTACTGGTTTGACGTCAGCTAATGTTAATGGTCAATGCAGCCGTGTGGATGTCAGACTCATGTTTCCATCATCAGTACCAATGTCATTTAACGGGGAGTTTGTCCGGACTCACCGGATGTTTGCCTCGGTTCCGGCAGGTCGTCGAAGAGATCCATTCCGCTGAGCTAGCTCCAGTGTTAGCCAAAGAGCTAACTCTCCACCGCTAACGTTAGCTACCTGCACCTGTACGGCACAGCGGCCGCTTGTAAGATACCAGCTGGTGGTTAAAGAAATTCACATTGTTATAAAAAATATGCTGTTTAGCGAGTTACTATCTTCCAAATGCGACAAACGTTGGTCGTTTATCTCCTGAATGAAATCGAGTTTAGCTCCTGTCACTAGCATCAAGTTAGCTTCAACCAGAGCCGTTGGTCATGATAATTTCCGGCCAGACCACCTTCAAAATAAAAGCTCCCTCTGGAATACAAGGATTGGAACGTCTAAACACACAGTAACAAAGTCAATTTACTCAACTACTGCATTCATTACAATTACTTTTACTTTACTCCAATACATTTCAGAGATAAATACTCAAATTACACTCACTCGTCACTTTGTCACTTGTTCGCTAGTGCACTTTATTTTTTAAATATTTTTAATTTTTAACTAACTTTATTCTCTTATTTTATACTAACCCATAGCATTAGCATTTCATTTTATTTCATTTTATTTTATCACTTGTGCACTGCTGTCTTGTTGTCTATTGTTACACTGTCTACTGTCACGCACCAACCGCCAAGACATTACATTACATCACATGTCATTTATTTGACTCTTTTATCCAAAGCGACTTACAATAAGTGCATTCAACCATAGGGTACAAACTCAGAAGACAAATTCCTTGTATGTATGAAATATTTTGGCAATACATGTTTCCTGATTCCTGATTCCTGAAATGTATTACTGGATTTATTTGAGGTAATTTGCAGTTTTCAGAGTTTAGGAAATACACAATAAACAATCTAATGCTATTGTTAAATCAGGCCTTATTTGTCCCCACTGGGGAATTTAAAGAAATATCAATCAAAAGTATGTTGAGTAATTTATCAAACCTAAAAATTATAATAACATAATAAATTTAGAAGAGCTCCACAATTATCAGTTGCAACATTAAAGTTGAAAACAAACTGGAATAATTTGAAAATAATGTTTTATTCCAAAAGCATTCAATCTACAAGTCAGTTAAAAGCTGATTAAAAAAACTAATCAGCAGCTAATCATTGATCCGCTTTGTTAAAAACACACAAAATAAAACACCATGGTCTTCGTGGATCCTGCTTTCTAGCTGCTACGGCAACCCGCTCACCTTCCACGTGAACCCGCTCACACAAACGCAACGGGAAAAGCTCCCATTGTAAAAAATAATGCTTTCATTTTACAAAAATAGAATGAAAAACTAAACGTTATAAAAATCTGCGCAGGTCCAGACGATGATGATGAAGTCCATTAATTCTCAGGTCAGAGTTCACCCGGTGAGTCCGATGACGTTGAGATGACGTCGTTCAGGCCTTGGCGTCCAGCATCTCCAGCAGCAGTTTGTGCAGCGGGACGCGGCGGCGGTGCAGCCGCAGGAAGGCCTCCACGGCGCGGCCGGCCGTCTGCCGCAGCAGCGGGAGGCTCATGAGCAGCCGGCCGGCCCGCTGCGGCTCGGCGCGGGACGCCGCGTGGTCCTGCAGCGCCTCGTGGAGCCCGTCCTGGAACCTCTGCACCGAGTCGGGGCAGTCCACCGGGTCCGCGTCTGGGGGGATACGTCATGTTTAAAACATCAAATATGATGTATTTATAAGAAGAGTCGGGGTTATCATGATTATATTTTAGACATCAGGCAGATTAATAAACACTGGAATTTCTCCCTTTCATGATACTTTATACTCTATAATTTATATAATTATATCATTGATCAAAAGTAAAATACGAACAAACAAAATAAAATGAAACCAACACGTACAAAATCAGCACAGAGTTGCTTTCCTTCATTAAATGTGATTAATAAAAGTAAGAATAAATAAACACTTTTAAACATACGTATATATGTTCTTTAATTATTTCGTCATTTTGTAAAATGTTTACTAAAAAGATTGAAACAAACCACGTTGAGTCCAATTAATAATAGTTATTAGGTTTTATTTACGATAAAGATTTTATAACTGAAAGGATTTTTTACCCGTTGTTGTTCTTTCCTAATTGCTATTGAAGCGTTTGTGTTTATTTATGCTTCTTAACAACTGTAACTGGTCCAGTGGTGAGTAAAGCTGCTCCATGAACACACAATCAGTAACAACATGTGTTCTATTCCTGTAACGCAGCACGTTGTTGCTTCCTGCTGGCTTCATCTGCACGTGTATCTTTGGATAGTACACTTCTATACTCTTTAGACGAACGTGTTATTGTACTTCATGGTAGTTCTAAGTATTTGTTTCTGTCGTAAACGTTAAAATCTCTATTAATGTTTCCTCTCCAGTGCAGAGACTCAACGTCAAAATAAAAGCCCGAGGAAAGAGACTCAACGTCAAAATAAAAGCCCGAGGAAAGAGACTCAACGTCAAAATAAAAGCCCGAGGAAAAAGACTCAACGTCAAAATAAAAGCCCGAGGAGAGGTCAGGGAAAGGTCAAGGGCAGTCTTTGGGTGTTTGTACACACACACACTCACACACAGACACACACTCATCATATTCTATTGTGCGAAGTATTGATGTTGAAACAGTTAATGGGCTGAGTAGAAAAACTAAGACACACACACACACACACACACACACACACACACACACACACACACACACACACTCGCTGTGTCCTCCAGCAGACAGTTGGCAGTTTATAGATCCAGAACCGAGTCTATCAATACTCTTTATTGATCTGAGGCTCAGACAGTGGGAGAGAGACCAGACTTCAGCTGGAAGTGTCCCATCATGCACTGCTTCAGCAGGAGCGTTTTAATGCACTCTATTGATCAGCTGTTATCACACTGCTGTCCTCTCCCTTAGCACGTTAGCATCAACAACAACAACAACAACTGACTAACAAGGGCCGCCCCGTTGACCTCCACCAACACCTCTGTACTTCTACTACAGGAAGCGTATTTTCTTTGTGTACTTTTACTACAGTAAGCGTATATTCTTTGTGTACTTTTAATGCTGGTGCTTTTACTACAGGAGTACTTTTACTGCTGGTAGACTACATGAAGCTGATGATACTCGTGTACTTTTACTGCTGGTAGACTACATGAAGCTGATGATACTCGTGTACTTTTACTGCTGGTAGACTACATGAAGCTGATGATACTCGTGTACTTTTACTGCTGGTAGACTACATGAAGCTGATGATACTCGTGTACTTTTACTGCTAGTAGACTACATGAAGCAGATGATACTCGTGTACTTTTACTGCTGGTAGACTACATGAAGCTGATGATACTCGTGTACTTTTACTGCTGGTAGACTACATGAAGCAGATGATACTCGTGTACTTTTACTGCTGGTAGCCTACATGAAGCAGATGATACTCGTGTACTTTTACTGCTGGTAGACTACATGAAGCTGATGATACTCGTGTACTTTTACTGCTGGTCGACTACATGAAGCTGATGATACTCGTGTACTTTTACTGCTGGTAGCCTACATGAAGCTGATGATACTCGTGTACTTTTACTGCTGGTAGACTACATGAAGCTGATGATACTCGTGTACTTTTACTGCTGGTAGCCTACATGAAGCTTAGAACACGTGTTTTGTGTAAATACTTTCCGTCCCATTGAAACAGAAACAACCACTTAGCTCGGCTGCTGATCGATATCAATAAGCCTCCCCTGGGATCAATAAGCCTCCTCGGTGTGAATCAATACCAGCCTCTGTCTCGGGGGCCACTCTTTGGTCCGGAGGCCTCACAGCTGCTGCTCCTCTAAACGTGTCATTCGTAAAGTCTCCCCGTCTGAACACAGTATACTCACTACAAAAGTATAGACTACACCTCTGGTCAGTAGTACAACATGTACCTCTGAGGTAGGACAGTAAAAGTACAATCTGTCCCCCTGAGATAAAGTAGTATAAAGTAGCAGAAAAGAACCCCGGACGTGTACTTGTGTTGCCTACTTGCGTACCAGAGTTGGCGAGCGCCACGGCCTTCAGCGTCACCGCCTCCTCGGCGCTCAGGTGCACCGCCCGGTATTTATCGGTCAGGTGACGCAGCGCGTCGTGCAGGTCGGCCAATCCTGCGGCTCGACACTGGGCCTCGTCCAGCCGCAGGTTCCTGGCGAACACGAGTTCCCTCCCCTTTGCCTCCTGCGACCGCCAGGCCACGCCCACCAGCAGGGCCTCCATCCAACCGCTCTGCAGCAGCGCCATCTGGTCGACCAATGAGAGCCCAGAGAACCCTGAGAGGGGCGGGGCAGAGAAGGGGTCCGCCGTCTTCAGTAAATGTGTGAATTACTTCAAATATCCTCACTAAGAAATGAAAGAAGATGAAGTGACTGAGGAAGAATCGGTCTCCGTGAGGCCTTCAGGGGACCCGGGTTACCTGGGATCTGCTTGGCCCAGCCAATCAGAACCAGCAGCTCCCGGTTCAGGAGGTCACACAGAGTCAGAAGGTTCCGCAGGCTGCCGTCGTCGGTGGAGTCGTCCTGATTGGCGTCCAGGGGGGCGGGCTCTGTCAGCAGCAACTGGGAGACTATCTTGTTTCCTAAAAGACAAGCGATGAATAAAAAGACGGGAGGGGGGGTGGAGTTTGAGGGGGCGGAGCTTCTGGCGTGAACTCACTGCTGCCGACGGCGACGCCGTACGGAGCTTTAGCGTAAAAACCAGGCCCCGCCTCCAGCCGCCGCTTGTACTTCTGTCGACCTCCTCTCACTCGGTCCATGCGCACTCCTGCAGACGCACAAAACACACAAAACACACAAACGACACGGCCGTAAAGTTAGCGGGGGCTTTGGACAAGGAGCATCTTTGTGGTCTAATGTTTTGTTTCGGTCTTTAAACTCGCTCTGTAGCTTTGTAGTGAGGCTACGCGGCACTGCAAAGGATCATGGGAAGTCCCCGTGCCAGACGTACCCTCCCTCAGCATCCCGGCTTGGAGACATTTGTGGAAGCGACAGGCCTGACAGGCTTTCCTCCGCCGCTTGGTGATCTCACACTGGCTCACCAGGGGGCAGCTGTAGTCGATGTTGCCTTGGTAACCACAGACAGGAAGGGCAATGACATCACAGCCTCACCATGCGCAGTCGGCGAAGTGAGAACGCTTTTCTTTGTCAGGACAGACTCGATCAGTCGATCCCGATCGTGCGCGTGGAGCTGCTCCTCTGGTGCAGCAGCTGATTCACACACTAATCAATACTGCTGCCTATTGATCGCGCCGCCTCCCTAATCCCCGGTATTGATCGCCGCGCCCTCACCCTGTATGGTCCTCTTGAAGAAGGCCTTGCAGGCCTCGCAGGACGCCACGCCGTAGTGATACCCGGAGGCGAAGTCCCCGCACACCAGGCACAGCCTCCTGGGCCCCGCGGCACCCATGGGCGTCAGGTAGTCGCCCCTCAGGATGGAGTCCACCTGCAGAAAGCACACGAGTCTCGAGTTTCTATTGAACAAACGGGCACTTTTGCTGGGGACTATTTTCTGCGGCGGATGTGTACACATGAACCTTTGCTCACCTGGGCTGAAAAGGAATCGGGGGAAAAGCCCAGCGAGGCCGCGGCGCTGCCGCCGACGCTTCCTCCGCTAGAAGTAGATCCGGTCGGGGAGTTGGGCTCCGGCGCTCCACGGAGGGGGCTGTAGGAGGACGAGGAGGAGGAAGAGGAGGCCGGGCTGGGGAGGAGGAAGGCCCGGTGTGAGGGGTCGGCGGGGGAGGATTCGGGCAAGGAGGCCGAAGACTGAGCTTCATCAGCCGGGGAGGAAGAGGAGGCGTCCGGGAGGCTGAGGAAGAAGAGTGTGGGATGAAATTGATGAAGTTCACTGATCAGCTGATTGAGTATCGGAACACTGGAGAAAAGATTTTCAGAATAAAAGTCACTTGCTGCTTGTTGTGTCGTTTCTAATGCTCCTAAGTAAGCGCCTTTATACTCCACCACAGGGGGCGCTGCTGGAATATACATCGCTCTTCACAACTCACACCTTTTACTTATCAAGTAAAAGTACACAGTGTAGAAATACTTTCTCAAAGTAACAGCAGTTTAAGTGTATCACGCAGAGTAATATTTAATGTCTGTTTGTGATGTTCAGAGTAACTTCTTTTTAAGCACTTCAAAATAGAACTACAAACATGTTGTAAAACATTTACATTTAAAATATGAGAAATCATGTTTATACATCCACATACTTCTGTGGAAAGTAATAAATTGCATTAACTAGTACCTTACTCAAGTACAAGTTGGGGTACTTGTACTTAATCATCCTCATTTTCTGCTACTTTATACTTTAACTCGACATCTAAGGGCAAAATATTATACTTTGACTCATTCATTTTATGAATCAAATCATCAATATCTAGTTACGTTAATCGTTAATATATTACTCCACATACAGGATACTTTTGGTACATTTGCTGATTATTCTTATACTTCTGCTTTGTGGTATCGCGTTTGGAATGAGAACCTTGAAGGTTCTCGTTCCAAAACTCCTACTAATGTAAAAGTACTTCATAGTACTACTGAAACTCCATTTAAAACCCCCAAAACATGAATAAAAAAATAGGATTTAGTTTCTCACCGATGTGGACTGATGCAGTGAAAGTCTATCAGGCAGAAGTCCTTCAGCTCCATCCTGAACCTGATCTACCAGAACCAGAACAGAACCAGACCAGAACCAGAAACCAGAACCAGCACAGTCGGACCCAACAGAGTGTAGAGTCAGAGGTGCGTTCACACGCTCAGATTCCGGTCGTAAAATCGGGTTCTGTGAGGGGACTGGTTGTAGAATGTGTTCCGTCTGATATTTATCAGTCTTATCTGAGGGGGCGGAGCCCGGAGGATCAGCCAATCAGCACGCAGCATCACCTTCTTCTTCTATCATCTCTATTGATTAGGCCAGTGACAGAAGTAGGCCACGTCTGAAGATCCTCAAAGCTAATTTCAAACACTTAATATTGTAATCAATAAAAATAAACCTCAATCTACAAACAGTCTGTAGAAGAAAAGGACATATTTCAGGTTAACAGCCTTGTTCTCATGCTACTGATTATAGAACGGCAAACATGCTTCTGCAGTTAAGCAAACACAAAGACAAATTAGAAAATAAAATTGATGAATAAATATATAATAATTAAAAAATAATAATGAATTTTGAAAAAAAAGAGAAAGCCAAAGACACATAAATTATATGTGTATCCTCACTTTCTCAAATTCATCTCAAACCATTCAGTCAGTCAATCAATATGTTTCCAGTCAGTAGACTGGTCAATAAGCCCCGCCCCTACACAGCCACGATCCAATCAGAGCAGACGTGTCAGTGTGGCCGTTTCAGCTTTAGCATTCAGTCATTTGCTCAGTTCACAGAATCATATTTCTAAAGGGAATTGTGTGTAAAATATTATGAGTTTAGAAATGAGATAATGAGAGAGCTGAGGACCAACACACACACACACACACACACACACACACACCCTGTGTGCAGCATGATGCAACAACCCAACACACACACTGAGTCCTAATCTCACGCTCAGACTTCCATGCAGCTCAGTTTCATCTCCATCTGTGTTTCAGAAGAGCTACACCTGTCTGCCTCTCTCTCTATTATAATATGCATTCATGTGAGTGTGTGTGTGTGTGTGTGTGTGAGATAAGGCTACCTGCACTGAAAGGGAGAGCTGATATTCCGCTGCCTCACAGTTTCCTTCTCTTTGCTGGGTAATCTCATTAATGCTGCCTGTGTGTGTGTGTGTGTGTGTGTGTGTGTGTGTGTGTGTGTGTGTGTGTGTGTGTGTGTGTGTGTGTGTGTGTGTGTGTGTGTGTGTGTGTGTGTGTGTGGATTAGCCTACATTCCGTGGTTAGAGACCTGGATCTACATGAACCCTGCAGGCATTAAGGTGAAGGAGCAGGTGGAGGATCAGAGGCGATTAGCACCTGTCACCTGAAGTGACTCATCACATGCTAGCTGCTTAGCAACGCGCTAGATTACCAGCGGTGGAATGTAACGAGATATATTTTGAATTTTTAACTCCACTATACTTCAGAGGTACATTTTGCTTTTACTGTACTTAATCTTAGAGGTACTGTACATGTTTGAGATGTTATTGTAGTATATCTCAGGTACACGTTGTACTACACCTCAGAAATACAAATTTGACCTTATACTGTAGTAATAATACTTCAGATCCTCACTATTCAGACAAATAACCCAATAACTCAAACAACAGAACCGTTTCAATAAAAGTGTGTGCAAATATATTTTCATCTCTTGTCATACAAACAACAATGATAAGAAAAGTGAATCAATCATGAAAATGAAAAGAAAGCAGGAACAAATTACCAGGCGCTCTTACAGTATACAGTGAATATAAATCAAACTTTACTACGTCACACAGTTTATGATAAAAACAAACAAACAGCTGCGATCCTTTAGGAAACAACAGGAATGTGAAGTATCATCTGCACATTATGACTGAATGCAGCCGCCACCGCTGAAGACATTCAGTGTTCATAAAGGTTTATCAGCCAATCACATCAGAGCAAAGCCGACCCTCCAAAGTACAAATTATAACCTCAACTTGTTATTGAAATGGAGACTTGGTGACGGACTATTTTTGACCTGTTTGGTGCTTTAATGAGTGTCTGCGCCTGCGATTGAATCCAACATAAAGAAAGTGTGTATATGGTGACGCAGGTACAACAGTGAGTCATTGGTGAGTTTTAATGGAGATCAATGGCCCTGAGGAGGAAAATAAATTCAACCAGCCAAAGACGATGATGGTCCACTTCTACACGGCCATCATGGAGTCCATCCTCTGCTCCTCCATCACCGTCTGGTACGCTGCAGCCACAGCCAAGGACAAGGGCAGGCTGCAGCGTGTCCTCCGCTCTGCAGAGAGGCTGATCGGCTGCAATCTGCCGTCCCTGCAGGACTTGTTCGCTTCCAGGTCTCTGAAGCAGCTAAAAAGATGGTAGCCGACCCCTCCCACCCCGACAAAACCTGTTTGTGCCCCTTCCATCTGGCAGGAGGCTGAGGTCCATCAGGACTAAGACCTCATCAACAGAGCCGGTCCCCCACTGACTGACTCTGTTTAAGACATTTTGAAATACTTGTGTGTATAGTATTTGTATCTGTTTGGCTGTGTGCTGTATATATTTTATTTGGGTTTTTTATTCTTTTATATTCAAATGTAAATTATTCTCTTTTGTTCCTGGTATGTCCGACCCACCGTGACAATTTCCTCGTGTGTCCCACATACTTTACAAACAAATGTTTCTGATTCTAATTCTGATTGTGATAATAAACCAGTAAACATTAACAGCTGAAATGCCATAATAATGTTCTTTAATAGGGAGTAAACTGGTGTAGCCGGTGTAGTTGGTGTAACTGGTGTAGCCGGTGTAGTTGGTGTAACTGGTGTAGTTGGTGTAGCGGGTGTAGCTGGTGTAGCTGGTGTAGTTGGTGTAGCGGATGTAGCGGGTGTAGCTGGTGTAGCGGGTGTTGTTGGTGTAGCGGGTGTAGTTGGTGTAGCGGGTGTAGCGGGTGTAGCTGGTGTAGCGGGTGTAGCGGGTGTAGCGGGTGTAGTTGGTGTAGCGGGTGTAGTTGGTGTAGCTGGTGTAGCGGGTGTAGCTGGTGCTACTGGTGTAGCGGGTGTAGCGGGTGTAGCGGGTGTAGTTGGTGTAGCGGGTGTAGTTGGTGTAGCTGGTGTAGCGGGTGTAGCTGGTGCTACTGGTGTAGCGGGTGTAGCTGGTGTAGCGGGTGTAGCTGGTGTAGCGGGTGTAGCGGGTGTAGCGGGTGTAGCTGGTGCTACTGGTGTAGCGGGTGTAGCGGGTGTAGCTGGTGTAGTGGGTGTAGCGGGTGTAGCTGGTGTTCCTGGTGTAGCGGGTGTAGCTGGTGCCCAGTGTAGCCTTTCCCAGTTTAGTGCACAGTATTTTAGCCCACGTTAAGTCAGATCTGGATCTAAAGCCGCTTTAGGGTCGTCTATTGTAGCCCAGTCTCCATGGCTGAGTCCGGTCCGGTCCGGTCCGGTTCGGTCCGGTCCGGTTCGGTAGAGTTCATGCAGCCACGCAGTGGTTGGGCCTGCGGGACATGATGTAACCTCTCCTGCAGACGCACCGGAACGAACCAGCTGTGTTCACACAGCGAGCGTTCACACAGGGGAAGTCCAGCAGGACGGAGGCCTCACACTCATTAAGGTCTGCAGACACACACACACACAGACACACAGACACACACAGA